GCGAAGAGCTACAAATGTGTGTATGGCTTGGTGTATGGGATAAAAACCAAACGTACTTGCAGGTTCGGTGAGTCCGGGATTGGACGCACCTCCCTGCAAGTACGTTTGTTATAAAACCCACCCACCCTAAATAACGTCGAGCGTGGCAGTCACATTCTTCAAAACTTTCACAAAATTGTCATTTTGGCACGAGATTATTGAGATAACGTCGAGAGAATTAAGATAAACCCACTCACCCACTCATAACGTCGATTCGACGTTATGCGTGGCAAAATGAATATGGACGTGACCCCTTAATACATTGTGCTGATATTAATTTGTGTCATTCAGACCTTAGATACCTATTTCCGACCCAAACTGAACTGAAGGTCATCGGACATCATCATAAATATGTCCAACCCAAACTCAAAGTCATCGGACATTTTGTCAGACAATCGTGTAAAATATATTTTAAGGCCTGCAGTTGGTTGGAGTGCTGCACCGGAATCGTAGGGCCTAAGGGCCTTAGGTTCGATTCCTGCCAGGAACCTAGAGTTGCATTTTTCGCAATTTAGGTCTAATAAATGTATATCACCATGATCGCGAACTCTGAGAACGTTATTTCAAGCCCCGAACTTGTTGACAGAACAGCCGACAGCGAACACCAGAACACGTGGCCATGTATTAAACTCAAAGTTCAAAAATCAACATCACCTGATCTTTCCCTTTGTCCCCCACAACAAAAACCAAAGATCGATGTCGTAGCTGAACACCATTTTCGATCAAAACGCGAATTCTGTTGTCGACCTTCTTTAAAACCATTTTAAATTTCTTTACAGAAAATCAGAAATATCAATATATCATCCGTTCGCTTGGCGCTAGACTGTATCGTCTGTAAAGTCACTACTTCATGTAATGTGAATTTAGCTAGCCTGATCACGGACCTTCGTTTTGCTGCCCTAAAATTCGCGGGTGGGATGCTTGGATCAGGCTAGAATAATAAATTCCACTCAAGAAAAATTATGTATGTCAAAAGTGTTGGCGGAAAGGTATTTTGAACACAAATGTGAAATGAAATTGCCCGTGAGGATCTACATGAAAATACGAACAATAGCACCAAATTTTGCTTGAACGAAAGAAATAAATGACAATACGAACAAAAGTACCAAATTTTGGTTGAAATTTTGGCAGGACTGGGCTTCGGCGAGAGAACATGATCTCGACGGAGAAGTATCCAATTTTGTCATGCTAATAATAAACAAGTAATCATGTCCGTTGCTCGTACAATTAGGGATTAATACAGGGTGAGTAAAAAAAACTGACATCTTTGTTATTCAAATTAGCTGCGAAGGTATCAGTTTTTTTTTACTCACCCTGTAGTACTCGTGATGTTTGGAAATTTGCCAAATTGGACTCGTAACTATTGTAACCAATACACTTTAAATCATACACAAAACTAAATGCTGTCGCTTCATTTATTTAGTTATTTCATAAGAAACTTTTAAATGATTTATTAAATAGCAAGCATCACTTCCGGTGAAATGGCGGACTGTGATTGGCTGAGAAGCACTTTCAGCGGTCATTATCTTTCCGTAACGGACCGGCGGTCCATTACGTAAAAACGAACGCATGCATTTTAAAACAAAACAGCAAAACTAATTGAAAATTATTATCATTTATTTGTTATTAATAAGATATCTGCGAATGGTTTTTAGTGGAAAAGAAGGAATACATTTGGTATTTTTTGTTTTGTACCACGCTACTAATATGCATTTCAAATCATGCACTTTAATATAATACATTATCTATGTTGGTCAACGTTTATTCATAAATCTGGTCCTTCACCGTCACGTGTGTATTGTATTCTTGCCCAACTAACCAATAGCAATGTTTTAGTAAAGTCACCCATCCGTGACTCGAACAATAGGGAAACTGGAAATTGCTATTCGGGTGGATTTGGTAAAAATACAATACACACGTACGTGACGGTGAAACGACCAGATTAAGGGCCTGTTCATATGAGCCCGGCACTGCCGGGCTAGCCCGGTTAACCGGGCTGGTTTTCGAGTGCAGGTTAACCGGGCTCATATGAACAGGCCCTTATGAATAAACGTTGACTAACATAGATAATGAGTTATATTGTTATTCTAATGAGTTTCACAGTCATCTTCCCTTCGATAGGCTATGTTCAAGTATATGCCTATAAATCGGTATATATAGAGAAATATCGGACCTCGGTCTTTTTGTAGATCAGTTTTTATACATTTTAAGCCGGTTTTCCATAACTAAGCGGAATTTTGCGCTCGGAGCGGAATTTTTGTCCTTGAGATTTCTCGGGTGGAAGTTCGTGGAACTATAATTAGAAAATTAAAGACAAAGAAAAATTCCGCTCCGCGCAAAATTCCGCCTGATGGAAACTGACTGGCTTAAGCCGGTTTTCCACTAGGCGGAATTTTGCGCGCGGAGCGGAATTTTTCTTTGTCTTGTGATTCCTCAGGTGGAACTAATGAGAAAAGACAAAGAAAAATTCCGCTCCGCGCGCAAAATTCCGCCTAGTGGAAAACAGGTTTAAGCTACGTTTACACGCTTCATCAAGTTCTCTTCTTGAAGAACTCAATTGGGAATCATTGTCCACTAAGCGATTAAAGCAAAAGGCAATCCTCATATTTAATACTATTAACAAACATACACCATTCTATTTACAAGAGATGTTTTCTCCTAGTGAGAGCCTAGAGGCTAGAGTGTTTATAACCTGAGAGATTCTTATGGTAAACTCTATGTCCCAAAACCACGCACAGATTATTTGAAACGCTCGATCCTTTAGTTACAGTGGAGCCTCTTTATGGAATGGTCTGCCAGAATCTCTCAGATCAGTAACCTCTCCGCTGCTTTTAATAAGACAGGTTTAGAAGAAGCCTTCTTAATTAATAATCGATCTGACTCCCACCGGCACGGCAATCATGCAGGTAGAACAGTATCTATATTTCTTTTTGCTCCTTTTTATAATGTATATGTAATAATTATACTGATGATTCCGCGTGTTTGAATAAAGTTGATGTATGTATGTATGTATGTGTAATGTATGTGTGTATGTGTACGATTCGTGATTCTGGCATATGAAATTTACTGCTCACGCTACAATTCCTCCAATCTTCATTCAGATTATGGTGAAATATTTGAAATGCGACCACTTTACGCGTGTCTCTTCGATTACATAAACTAGAATACGAATTGCGCAACACAATTCGCACCGTGTAACATGGCCTTTAAAAGCCGATTTCCATTCAGTGCAAAATGTCGCGAGATCAACATTTTGTGATCACTTTCTTTCGAGATGCGTTCAGTCAACCTCATCCGTTGCGTTTAATTGCTTGTATTTCAAAAGAAAATGATCGCAAAATGTCAAGCGCGCGACATTTTTCACTGAATGAAAATCCGCCTTAAGGTATATAATCCATTGAATAATATTTGGTATACCAGTCAGTTACTGCATGTACATTTTACTAATTGCGCCGAACTTTATAAGACAACGATTCAAACCACGACAGAAGAGCAGCGTCTAAAACAATTAACGGTTTGACAAATCATGACGTATTATGCGACACAGTTACGACATGGGTTTAAACACTGTGCTTTTATGCGGTCAAGTGCTCGAACTGCCCCACACTGAGCCTGCCCCCCCCCCCCTACTTTCCTTGTTTTCATGGCACAATCTGAAAGAACATGCACATATATAGATACTTTTTGGCGTTTTGACTCAAAGGCCCTTCATTAGGAGAGATAGTACGAATATCTCCGCCTGAAAAATGAAACACGCTGATAAGAAGGCCGGCCTTTCTCCTGTTTCCAATTGTGACTGTCGTGACCTTAAAGCTGTTCATTTTACGCGCTGAGGCCAACGGTAGACTGTCGTGGCCGAAAGAGGATGGACTAGAGGCAGCTGGTTTTCACGATGGCGGCCAATTTTTAAGATCATCAAAACATAAACGAATCACCAACCAGCCACTTGCAACAATACTAAACCTTACCCCTCACCCCACATCTAATCCTAACCCCCACACAATCCCTATGACTAATGCAAACTCTTATTTCAATTCTGAAACCATCTCGTAAACTACCTCTCGTCCATCCCTTTTAGACATTAGCAACGATAGACCCCTAAAGTTTTATAATTAATTTAACTTAGCCTAATCTAGGTGATCGCTACAAGCTCAAAGAGCGGGAACGCGATCCGTTTCTGGTTAAATCCTTTCATATATATACAATAGTCACCACCACCGACTCCACCAGCTAGTGTTGCTTTCACCAATATCTCTGAAGCATCTATTAAGGCCGTTCCATCCACCTTGCTGCTCTATCCAACCCATTTCGCTAACATATCTCGCCGTCCATTCAATTATATCATCCATCTGATCACCCATATTGTTCTCATTACAATACTTGGCAACTTGAGCTGCAAAGGCAAACAGTACCGCAATCCTACCCCAATTTATAACACCGTCAGAAAACATCTCTTTGGCGACCTCGCAAAAAGAACTATACACCGTTTCTTTTGAGAAGTTTAATTTTGAACACATTTGCGCCAAGAGGTCAGGATTCCTTAGTTCAACGTCGTCCGAAAGTTTCCGTAGTGTTCTAGCGGTAGCATTGACAGGTGACAGATTTTTCCCCAGTTTATAATTTATAAGATCTTTCGCCAATATCTTTCCTTCTTCGCATACAGGCGAGTCTGTCGTTTGCTCGTCGCTTCCCTCTGCCATTGGAAAAACGTTGTAAACCTTTTGCAATCTTGTGTAAAATTTCCTATTCGTTGTATAATACCCCAAACTGCTTGTCGGATACAGATCGCACCGAACTATGACAGAGCAAAGAGTCCAAATATCAGAGATGTGTCGGCGGTATCATACACGTCACTTTTAATACTCTATAATCATATGATTCACTCACAATTTTATTTCGTATTTTATCTTATTCCACTTTCTAGACACACCTTTAAACCTATGTTCTACTTAATTTCTTGTCAGTTTCGAATGACAGTATTGTAGCTTTTAAATATTTGAAGAAGGAAGTGAATTTTATAAGCATGTAGAAGAGGAAATCGACGAAGAACTATATATAGTTTCTTAAAGCATTCGAAACTAAATGTATCGGCTCTTCCTTGTTTCGACGTTAAAAATCAAGTTTTCAATGTACATGTTCATTAAGTATAAAATAGGTCCACGTTTAAGTGTCTTTTAACTGCGTCTAAGTCGTTTAATATAGCGTATCAGTTGACACATACACTTCATGTCGTCAGAAATATAATATTTACTATGTTCGTGTAAAATGAGTCACAATATGTATGACATGTGTATTAGCGTATAATAGCGCGTTTAAGCCATTGTAAGCACGCTTTTATCCACGTCAGTTACAATTTAAAACGCGTATAGTTTTATACGTAAAGTTATAGTTTAATCAATATTAATTGTAATATCACATTGCAAGTATCGGCAAACCAGGAAAGATTTCTTTCAAAGCTACTTCCCCATCCCCCCGGAACGGCTCCCACACGAAGTTAATATTTTCATTACTTTGCCTTCGAGTTAAGCCACCTTTGAAGAATATCTTTCTTTAGTATAATTACATAGGTGATTACTGAAAATTCTCCAGGCTGATTGGTTGCCGTTGAGGTGATTGTAACGCGATAATCACCTAAGTGATTTTCAAAATGGCGGCCGAAGCCGTTTTGTCAATTAAATGACGAAGAAATGTGTATTTTTAATTATTTTCCAAATAATCACCTACGAAATTATACTAAAACAATTATTCAACTTATACTAAAACAATTATTCACATTTAAAACAATTAATCACTGATAATCACCTCGCCTTCGGCGAATAATTGTTAATTATTGACTGGCCGAGTGGGAATTTTAAAACACTGCAGATTTTATACCGTGTGACATGCACTGCATGTGTATTTGCATGCATGTGAACTGTAATAACACTGGAACGCTAGTAACTGCAGGTAAACATGCCCATACTTGCCCGAAACCAAGATACGTGGCGCTTCTCACGAGAGACTAGGGAGAGTTTCGAGGAGCGGGAAATTCAGTCAAAAGTTTGTTTTTTAGCGAAAATCATCAAGAAACAGTTCTTTTTTATCAAAAGGCTTCAACTTTAAAGATTCAAACCCGGTTTCCTGGATAGTTCTAAATATTTTACATCCACTAACAGCAAAAACTTCTGGGTAACAGTTTCCTATATTCAAAATATTACACAAGTTTGAACGTGCCGAAAAAAGCTTCGCACTTTGACTCCTGAGAAAATAACTTTAAAACTGCTCTACGTTCTGGAAACATGTTTTGTATTACATTTCAAGTATTTTTGAAAGTTTTTCGCTTTTTTCCTTGTTGAAATATAGCTATTTAGTGGTCGAAACAGATGTCTTTTCGGCGGCGTATTTCATGCAGTTCGATGCCTTACAAACATGGCGGCCATCATGGGTCGCTTCAAAGATGGCGGCCAAGTTATCGTTCCAGTTCCCTTTCAGTTCACTGGCATGTGCATGTTGTCATCCGTGTTTGTATATGCGCATGTGTGTTCTGTATGTGTGTGCAATTTTCTGCCGCGAGCGCAATAATTTAAACAGTATGACAGATATTAGTCCGAAAATTTGGAAGACAAATGCGCATTGACCAATATTTCGCCAAATCCCCCTCGCTCCAGGTCTATAAATGATAATTATACCTGTAAACCACATACAAATCCTAACTAAGTATTCTGTAGTTATAATCACTTCGCGTATTTTCAGTTCTCAAATGTTGTATATCGGCTGATGAGAAAGATCGTGACTCAATCTTTCCGACCGTTACGACACGATGGAAACCAGGCTTTAATTCGCTGGCGGAGGTACTGTATACTGTCGGGATTTAGGGCATTAGTAATGTCGGAATTGGAGATAAAGTCCTTGTAGAGCAAGACAAAGTCGATGGTCTATCTCCCAGATATAACCCTGAGCCATTCGTGGTGGTCGCAAAGAAGGGTTCAATGGTGCTCAACTAGTAGCTACTAACTGTTGAAGTGTGTTTTAGATGGATATTTTCGAGTGTGAAATTTATACATTTGTTGGACATATTTATATAAGACCATGCAGCATGTTAGAATACTCTTAAACAATTAATCTCCGCGAGAGCCCTCTAAGATCGATCTATCACTACCCGCCAACCATAATTAACCGTACACGGCATGGGAATTGAGAAAAGTGTGTCACGATTAGAAATTGACGGCCATGATGACCGTTCGATCTCATCTTAACAACCTTCAACAGAGCATGCGTACATGTACGTGCTGACGTGTACTGCATATTAACGAGACAAACAACGACATTATTTCAAGACATAGTCGGAAAATATTTCAAATCATTGATCGATAGACGTTTAAGGTTAACAAAAGGCTAAAGTATACTGAGGGCGCGTTCTATTTAATGGCCTGACCGGTCAGACCCGAATTTTTGTCTCTGTATCAATGGAAAGATCTCAGGTCTTTGTTTCTCAAATATCTAGCGAAAATGGACCTCATTTTAATGTTAACAAAATTTTCTTGTCAGATGGGTCCAAAGCCCAAACTGTTTAAATTTGTGTTCCATTCAACAATTTGACCCAGCGGCGGCGGAACAGATTTCATTCTGGGGGGGCTAAATTTTTTCGGCGACCTTCCCCCCCCCCGTCGCCAAAAAAATTTCGGTCAGTGTACCATTTTAGGGGTACAATATACAAAAAAAGGAACGAAAAATTTTTTTTCGGACTTATATCTAAAAATTTTTTCCGAAATAGACTTTTTTTAAACAAAATATTGCAAATTTGTCCCCTCATACCTAAATTTTCAAAAAATAACCTAAATTTTTCCGTAATTATCAAAATTTTTTCAAAAAATTC